TGGGTTAGGGTTAGAGGAGAGATCAACAAGGCTGATGTTGTGGTGGGGGTCTGTTATGGACCACCAGACCAGGAGGAAGTGGTGGATGAGGCTTTCTTCAAACAGCTAGTGGAAGTTTCACAGTCACAAGCCCTGGTTCTCACAGGGGACTTCAATCGCTCTGACATCTGCTGGGAGGGCAGTATAGAAGTGCACCAGCAGTTCAGGAAGTTTTGAAGAGTGTTGGGGACAACTTCCTGGTGCATGTTCTGGAGTAGCCAACTAAGGGCCATGCTCTTTTTGACCTGCCGCTCACAAACAGGGAAGAACTGGTGGGGAATGTAGTACTGGATGGCAACTTGGGCAGCAGTGACCACAAGATGATTGAGTTTAGGATCCTGAGGAAAGAACGGATATAGAGCAGCAGAGTAAGGACCCTGGACTTCAGAAGAGCAGACTTCAACTCACCCAGGGAACTCATGGGCAGCATCCTCTGGCAAGCCAGTCTGAGGGGGAGTGGAGTCCAGGAGAGCTGGCTGTGCTTTAAAGAAGTCCTACTGAGGGTGCAGGAATAAACCATCCTGATGCACAGGAAAACTAGCAAATATGGCAGAAGAACCACTTTGCTTAGCAGGGAATTCTTCAATAAACTAAATAACAAAGGAAGCTTATAAGAAGTAGAAACTTGGACAAATAAGTAGGGAAAAATGTAAAAGCATTTCTTGGATGAAGCCAGGAAGGCCAAAACGCAATTGGAGTTGCAACTAGCAAGGGATAAGAAGGGTTTCACCATGTATGTTGATAGCAAGAGGAGGATCAGGGCAAGAGTGGGTCCCTTACTGAATGGGGGAGAGAGGATACAGAAAAGGCTGAAGTGCTCAATGCCTATTTTGCCTCAGTGTTTACAGGCAAGATCAGCTCCCAGACTACTACACTGGGCAGCACAGTCTGGGGAGGAGAGCAGCAGCAAAAGAACAGGTTAGGGACTATTTAGAAAAGCTGGACATATACAAGTCCATAGGGCTGGATGGGATGCACCTGGGGGTGCTGAGGGAGTTGGCTGATGTAACTGCAGAGCCATTGGCCATCATCTTGGAAAACTCATGGCAATCAGGAGAGAGCCCAGATGACTAGAAAAGTGCAAACATAGTGCCCATATTTAAGAAAGGGAAAAAGGAGGATCCAGGGAACTACAGACCAGTCAGCCTCACCTCAGTCCCTGGAAAAATCATGGAGCAGGTCCTCAAAGAATCCATCTCAAAGCACTTGGAGACTAAAAAGGTGATTAGGAACAGTCAGCATGGATTCACCAAGGGCAAGTTATGCCTGACCAACCTGATTGCCTTCTATGATGAGATGACTGACTGCAGATGCAGGGAGACCAGTGGATGTGGTGCTCAATTTTAGCAAGGCTTTTGATACTGTCTCCCCACAATATTCTCACAGGCAAGCTAAGGAAGTATGGGCTGGATGAATGGACTGCAAGGTGGATAGAAAACTGGCAGGAGCATTGGGCTCAGAGTTTAATAATCAATGGTTTGATGTCTACTTGGCAGCTGGTATCAAGTGGGGGGAGTAGTACATACTTTGGAGGGTAGGGCTAGGGTTCAGAGTGACCTAGACAAACTGGAGGATTAGACCAAAAGGAATCTCATGAGGTTCAACGAGGACAAGTGCAAAGTCCTGCACTTAGGATGGAAGAATCCCATGCACCAGTACAGGCTGGGGGCTGACTGGCTACACAACAGCTCTGCAGAAAAGGACCTGGGGGTCAGTAAGCTGAATATGAGCCAGCAGTGTGCCCTTGTTACCAAAAAGGCTAACCGCTTACTGGGCTGCATTTGGTAGGTGTTGTCAGTAGGTCAAGGGAAGTGATTCTTCCTCTCTATTCAGCACTGGTGAGGCTACATCTGTAATACTATGTTCAGTTTTGGGTCCCCCACAACAGGAAGGATGTGGACAAATTGAAGAGTCCAACAGAGGGCAACAAAAATGGTTTGGGGGCTGGGAGACATGACTTTTGAGGAGAGGTTGAAGGAATGGGGCTTATTTAGTCTAGACAAGAGGAGCCTGAGTGGTGATTTAATAGCAGCCTTCAACTGCCTGAAGTGGGGTTCAAAAGAGGATGGAGCTACACTGTTTTTAGTGGTGGCAGATGACAGAAAAAGGAGCAACAGTTTGAAGTTGCAGCAAGGGAAGTTTAGGTCAGATATTAGGAACAAAATTCTCACTAGGAGGGTAGTAAAACCCTCACCGATGACACCAAACTTTGGGGCAAAGCATCCACACCAGAAGACAGGAGGGCGATCCAGGCTGACCTGGACAGGCTCAGCAAATGGGCAGACAAGAACCTGATGGTGTTTAACACTGAAAAATGCAAGGTTCTCCACCTTGGGAGGAAAAACCTGCAGCATCCTTATAGGCTTGGCAGTGCTACGCTGGCTAGCACTATGGAAGAAAGAGACTTGGGGGTCATCGTTGACCACAAGATGAACATGAGCCTTCAATGTGATGCTGCAGCTAGTAAAGCAACACTGACTTGCATCCATAGATGCTTCTCAAGCAAATCCCAGGACGTTATTCTCCCCTTGTACTCAGCCTTGGTGAGGCCACAGCTGGAGTATTGCATCCATTTTTGGGCTCCACAATTCAAAAAGGATGTGGAGAGGCTTGAGAGAGACCAGAGAAGGGCCACACATGTGATCAGAGGTCAGGAAAACAGACCTTATGACAACAGGCTGAGAGCTATGGGGCTCTTTAGCCTGGAAAAGCGCAGGCTCAGGGGTGATCTGATGGCCACCTATAAGTTTATCAGGGGTGACCACCAGGATCTGGGGGAACGTTTGTTCACCAGAGCGCCCCAAGGGATGACGAGGTTGAAGGGTTATAAACTACTGCGAGACCGTTTCAGGCTGGACATAAGGAAGAATTTCTTTACTGTCCGAGCCTCCAAGGTCTGGAACAGCCTGCCATCGGAGGTGGTTCAAGCATCTACATTGAACACCTTCAAGAGTAAATTGGATGCTTATCTTGTTGGGATCATATGACCCCAGCTGACTTCCTGCCCTTTGGGCAGGGGGCTGGACTTGACAATGTTCCGAGGTCCCTTCCAGCCCTAACGTCTATGAAATCTATGAAAACACTGGAACAGGTTACCCAGAGAGGGAGGTTCTTAAGACCTGGCTAGACAAAGCTTTGGTTGGGATTATCTTGTTGGGGCTTTGAACAGGGGGTTAGCCTAGATGACCTCCTGAGGTCCCTTCCAACCCTAACTTTCTATGATTGCATGATTCTATGATCTTAGATTCATAGATTCATAGATTAAGGGTCGGAAGGGACCTAGTAGATCTTCTAGCCCGACCCCCCGCCAGGGCGGGAGAACAACAAAAAACCCCAAAAAGAGAAATGGGACTCAAACGAGTCCAGC